TCCATGTTATAGTGCTGGCCTCCTGTGACAGGGATTGGCAGTGTACATTTGCCTGCGTGCCTCCAAGGTGAAGTGGGATTAATTTCGTACACATCCTGTCTGTACGAGCAGACACAGTCCGTCCTTGCACATGAGGAATGACAGGTGATGGGAGCGCAAGTCTCTGAGCGTGCCGGGAATGGTCCGCTCTCCTCTTGTACTGGTCTGAGCGTTGCAGTGGTGCAACATGGCATTTTGAAAGATTGGAGTGGGGTGAATAGGGAAGCATTGCAGAATTCCATTGTTGGTGAAAGGAGGAAATCATTGTATGCAAAAGAAGATGTTTAGTATTTTACTGCAGGTTTATGCATGAAATTCTCTTTTTCTTTTTAACCTTCACTGTTACATATAACATTTCAGGCACTCATCCATTCTTTTTCTAACCTGTTCTTCTGAGGGGTGCAGGTGGTCCTGCAACAAGAGCAAGGCAGGGTACACCCTGGACAGCCGGGGAGAGCAGTCCATCGTGGGGCAGACACGCACGCTTTGACGTTGGGGCCAGAAGCAAATGGGCCTACCAATATGTCTCTGGACTGTGGGGGGGAAAACCAGAACACCCGGAAGAAACCCACATGAACAAGATGGAGACCATACAAACTCCAGACAGACAGCACCCCAGGGCCCCAGGCAGAGCTTCCTGGTTCCATAACACTCCAGTAAGATTAGGATCCTTAGAGCCCCCTGCGCTGACTTGTCATGTGGTTCGGGTCTCAGTTCTGAAAGCAGTCTTCACCCTTCTGACTGAATACAAAAAGTACCAAAAGGAGGAGTGTTGCTCATGTGAGTAGTGCAGGCTAAATAGCAGTAAATCATCACCAGTATTACATGTATTTCAGGTTTTCCATACACCCAGTAGTTTGTATTGCTTTCCTTTCTTAATAGGTTTACAGTAAGATTTCCTTGCTGGCCCTTTGAGATTAACTGCCTGTGTATATTATTGATAGATTATAGTTACTTCTTCTTTCAAGATGCCCTTTTTTTTAAAAATAGAAAGATTGATTGTCGTCTCCTTTTTAGATTTCATTACTGGAAAAGGGACACTAAACGATATTGCAAGGGGAGCTTTCTGTAAATTTCTTCCCTAAGGACTCAGGTCTTTCAGGACAGAGTGCCTTCTGCATGGGGACTCAATTCAATTTCCTCCTTATCTCAAGGAAAACGTACCTAATAAAATTAGTTTATAAACATTATGTTAGCAATTTTTCAAGACCTGCTTGCCAGAATATAAGAGCTATTGCCATTTTAGTAATCCATCTTGCAAGACTTGCAAGATTTTATAGAGGAAGTGGGTGGTTAATTATATACCGAGCATGAGAATAATTTACCACTCTTTTTCTTGTATATTTCTAGAAAAGTAAAGCGCACATATTTTGAGTATTGATTAAATAATTGTGGCATCATTTTGATTAATTCATTATTCGGGACTTCCAGTTAAACACCCAAGTAACTGATGCTTAGGCACTGAATTGTCTTTATGCACCTACAAAGCAATAAAAGCACAAAGACAGGCAGAACCTATTGTGTGGTCATATAGGTAGGTTTGTTTATATTTTCTGGATTGTTCCGTTATCCTGGTATTGGGTGACTGTAGGCTGGAACCTGCTTGGTCCCGCTCACTTATCAGGAGAAGAGTGCCTTTGTGCCACTGTTGTTGGAGGCTGGACTTTCAGTACGCTGCTGTTCTGGACATTCACAGTCCACAATGTCTCAGCTGGAAAGATGTTAAGGCCAGTCTGTCAGTCTTAGGACTCAGTCAGATAACCAAGGTGAAGGGGAAGGTCCAAGTGTGATGGTCTGGGCTGGAGTGCCTAGTCCTCACTTCACTTTCACAATGTTTGACTCGTAGCGATTGATGGTAACCTGTACTGATCAAGTCCTGGGATCTCTTTCTCCTTTCTGTGATGATATGAATCTTAAAGAACATCTCCGGACTTGATATCCTATGACAGGAGGAGTCTTAGACTAAGTGACAATTACAAGCCAATAATATTTGGCGACTGTACCATACTCATGGTATCTTTGCCTATGACAGAAATTTAATGTATCGACAAGCAACAGACATTCATGGTTCTTCGGGTAAAAATGCCAGGAGCAATCTGTTAACCAGTACTTGACATATATCGAATTATATTGGGGCGGTGGTTCTTTGGCTAAGGATCTGCGCCTGTGGCTGGAAGGTTGCCGGTTCGTATCCCACAGCCGGCAGAGGAATCCTACTCCGTTGGGCCCCTGAGCAAGGCCCTTAACCCCAGCTGCTCCAGGGGCGCCGTATAAAGGGCTGACCTGTGCTCTGACCCCAAGCTTCTCTCCCTCTCCATGTGTCTCATGGTGAGCAAGTTGGTGTATGCGAAAAGACAAATTCCTAATAAAAGAATTGGATATGGCCAATAAAGTGATCTTATCTTATGTGGAGGCTGATGTGTCTTTGAATGGTCCCAGATTATTAAGTCTGTTGGAGCATTGAAGTAAAATTTCTTTAAACCCTGCATTCCATACAGTTTTATTTATGCATCTAAAAATGGATAATGTTTTTGAGATGCAATGTTAAACATTGCATATTTTCTTACTTGATTTACATTTGCATTTTATTGTTGTTGATAGTAAATAGTCTGAAATCGTTCTTAATGGATTTACAGCAGTTCTTATGTGCAGCTTATGTGCAAACAAAATTCTCTGTTCATATTGAAGATAAAATCTCCCAGTTTTGTTGTACACAGATTGTACAAAAACTACTGACCATTCCATTTCTGAAGTCAGATGATTTGTGGTTGTGCATGAGGTAAAGAGCTTTTTTCTTTTTAGTTTGGCTATCACCCTTTTTCTGAAGAGTGCAATAACAGAACAGTTAGCAATCGGATGCTGGCAAAGTAGATGGCATTTAGATTTTGCTTTAATTTTTTTTTTATATTAACAAGAATACATTTTTAAATGCTAGTGTGTGCAGTATCAATAGAGTTAAAATTGTAATGCTGTTTGAAAGCTATGATTGTGTAAAGCAAAATCTAAAGATGGATATTGACATATTAGGAAGCTGGTGTGTAATTTCTACACCAAAGACTTTTTCTTTGAGTTTTTTTAAAGATCATGTTCTGAAACATTCAACACTTCATGACTATCGATGTGCAGAAGTTTTTTTCTTTTTATATTCAGTTCTTTATGCATTTATTCAGTTTTTCATCCAGTCGCAACAGGGCAGTTTGTAAGTCATGCAACCTGGTCACTGAAATGTTGGCTTGAGAATAATATGAAGACAGCATGCTAATAAAAAGTGTCACAGCAACACTGTAATGCACTGCTTAGCCAAAACTGTACTAGTATCGGACGTCTGGAAATGTATTCAAACCCTTGAACACAATTGAATGCTACTGTATAATGTGCTGGTAAAATGTGAATATTAAATTGGGCTATTTCACAACACTAGAAGGTAAAACCTTCAAAAGAGACTTCTAACTCTACTACATGTGGCAGATGGATTTCACTTAATGTATATGGAGTGGAATCGGAAGTCTCATACGCAGTTCGGCTTTCTAGTGTGGTGAATTGGATAGAGCTAATTAATATTTCTGAATTCTTTACGATTGTACAGTATGTGTATTTGCAGAGATGCATATGGAGGCAGTGGGCACAAAAATGGAAGCACCTAGTAATTGAGGGACAAGTGTTTTGAAAGTAAGGGCTTCCACATGGGTGCGGCTCATGCACTAATTATCCCAGCATGCTTTGGGTCCTGTTTAAAAATGCTGGGTTGCCCTAGTTGCCAATAGTTCTGGCTGGCATGGCTGTAAGAGGAGATCTCAGTGACTCTGACTGGGGTGATTGTCAGGGTGCAGTTGGCAGGAGCATCAGTGTCCAAGACAGGTTGACTTGCTGATGTTTAGTTCGATCAAGAACAGTCCACTGAGGACTCCACGGAGTGGGTTAGCAT